ATAACTCTAACTAAAAACCAGAGGGGATTCCGGCCATCTGGGTGAGACAGAAGGAAACTGAAACCCTAGAACGCCCCTTTAAAGGACCCGCACACAGGCTTTCTGACCTGCACTCACTCACCTGGGACACTGAGAGTGGGTCAGAGGCTCGTGCAGGATTCATACTGAGAAAGTCTGCATTACCTGATGCCAGAACGAGGGCTGGAAGGACAGCCACCATTGTGCCTTAATCCGGCCCCCCTACTAGGCAATATACAGACCATGTCAGCTGGACTGTGCAGACCCCCACCCCACCCCCCACACACAGGGCCATTAGGAAGTGCTGGTCAGAGGGGATCAGGCCACCCCCAACCCCACCCCAGCCCAACCTGCAGATTGCCCGGGGCTTTTGTTGCTGGATGACAGCTAGGCCCTAGGACAATTCAGAACCAAGTATTCGCATCTGTTGGCCAGAGCCGTGAGACATATTTCTGAGATAGTTTCAGGTGGATCACTGCTGTCAACACGAGCTTGGGCAGATCTCAGGGATCCATGGGCCAGTCCCAGACAGCAGCTGGTCTTGCTGTGATCTGGGACTTCTGCTGGAACATGGAACAGTTACCAATGTTGTAGCAACACTGAGGCTTTATCAATCCAACTGCCATTGTCTCCTTGAGACCCTGACCCACCCTACCCACAAATTGCCCCATGCAGCCCATTGACAGTGAACTGTCACAGCCCTACCCTGCCCAGCACACTCTCATCCCTGTCCTCCCAATCCACACAGACAACAAACTTTGGCTAGCACAGGGCGGACACTGCATGGAAATCAGTTGCAGGCAGATCTCTGCTGCCTGCAAGAGTTGCAATATTGCGTCTGGGGAGCGCAGGGGTCTGTGGGACCACCCCAGACAGAGCTGGTCTCACTGATCTATGACTATAGCGGGAACACCCAGGAACAGAAGTTGCAGCAAAACTGAGGCTATATTGGCTGGATGGACCTTCTCTGCCTGAGATCCTGCTTCACCCAAGCCTACAGAGTGCCTGCAGCCCACTGACAGACAGCCTCCCCTGCCCTGCTTGGCTCTGGGGTTGTGCATTCTGCACAGGCAACAGTTGGAAGTATCACATTATACTACAAGGCTACAGTAATAAAAACAGTGTGGTACTTGCATAAAAACAGATACATTGATCCATGGAACAGAATAGAGAGCCCGGAAATATATCCATGCCTATATGCTTACTTAATATATGACAAAGCAGGTAAGAATATACCATGGGGTAAAGACAGTCTCTTCAATAAATGATGCTGGGAAAATTGGACAGATACATGCAAAAAAAGAGGAAAAGAAAAGGAAAAAGAAAGAAACTGGACCACCTTCTTACACTATATACAAGAACAGACTCAAAATGGATTAAACTTAAATATAAGACTCGAAACCATAAAACTTCTAGAAGAAAACACAGGCAGTAAACTTTCTGATATTACTCACAGTAATTTCTTTTCAGATATATCTCCCCTGGCAAGGGAAACAAAAGAAAAAAATAAACAAGTGGGACCACATCAAACTAAAAAGTTTTGTACAGCAAAGGAAACCATCAACAAAACAAAAAGACAACCGACTGATTTAGAGAAGATATTCGCTAATGACACATCTGATAAGAGGTTAATATCAAAAATATATAAAGAAATCATATAACTCAATAACAAAAAAAAAAACAAGAAATACAATTAAAAAATGGGCAGAAGACCTGAACAGATACTTCTCCAAAGAGGAAATAGAGATGGCCAATAGACATATGAAAAGATGCTCAAGGTCACTAATCAGAGAAATGCAAATTAAAACCAGGATGAGATATTACCCGACACCTGTCAGAATGGCTATCATCAATAAATCAAAAAACAAGTGTTGGTGAGGATGCGGAGAAAAGGAAACACTTATACACTGTTGGTGGAATTGCAAATTGGTACAGCTGCTATAGAAAGGGGTCTATAAAAATTAAATGGATATACCTTTTGACTCAGCAGTTGCACTTCCAGATATTTATCCAAAGACAACCAAAACAATAATTTGTAAAGATTTATGTACCCCAGTATACATAGCAGCATAATTTACAATAGCCAAGATATGGAAGCAACTTAAATGCCCATCAATAGATGATTGGATATAGAAATTATGATTCATATATACAATGGAATATTACTCAGCCATTAAAAAAATGAAATCCTACCATTGCAATGGATGGACCTAGAGGTTATGCTGAGTGAAATAAGTCAGACAGAGAAAGATAACAACCATATGATATTACTTATATGAAGAATCTAAGAAACAAAAAGAACAAACTAATCAAAAACAGACTCACAAATACAGTGGACAATTTAGTGACAGACAGAGGGGAGGAAGGGGCTTAAAGGGCTTGCAGAATAGGGTGAAGGGTTAAAGAAGTACGAATTAGTAGTTGCTAGATGGTCACAGGGATGGGGAGCACAGCATAGGGAATGCAGTTAGCACTAATATATTGGCTAGGTGGAGAGCGGGAGGAGAGGAAGAGTAATTAGGGGGATCATTTTATAAACTGTATAAATGTCTAACCAATGTACTGTGTACTTGAAACTAATTTAAATAAATAAATAAATTTTTTAAAAAGCTGTGCAAATTTGGGTCCTTCATTTGCAAAAAATGGGCCCATTAGATACCAGGGTGGGCACTTTCTCTATATAGCTAGCCTCCCCTTTGTCTTGGGGGAACATACTCTCAGTTTCCTCCAGAGGCTGTGTTTCCCACTTTGCAAAATGTTCACCTGAATAAAGTCTCTCCTTTTACTGCATCCCAGATTGGGGACTCCTGTTGGCAATGAATTGATGGCAGACATCTTTTGGTCAACAAGGTCAAAGCCTAATGCACCAATATCATGATCAGAATCCAAAGGACCAATCCCTGTTTGCAACACTGATTCACTGTGAGCTGGATCAAGGCTAGCTGAGCCTTTTTGTGATTTAGGGACAATCACTCCCATTGTACATTTGCAAGGATTCCTCACCTTCATAATGTAATTATAGTGTGGTTAATACTAAGCTATTTGTGATCTTGGAAACATTTTGAACTCTGAAGGAAAAAGTACTGGGTTCACACAAGGTGATGAGATTTCAGAAGGCAGAAAATATGTCCCTCAGGATAACAAGGCAGAGAGAATAAACATGACCATGGTCTGAGACAGTGGTTTTCAAATGTGTTTTAGCAGCAGAGTCCTGACTTTGAATAAAACTTTCAGTGGAATCCCACCCTAAACCTGATCAAAGCAGAGCTGCTCTGCTGAGAAGCCAGGACAGGGTGGTGGTGGTATGGGGCCAGAGCCCACCCTTCCTCCTCCCCACTCATCTCCCCCTACTCCTGAAGCAGTGGTCTCTGCAGCAGCATCTGCGAGGAACCCTTAGGCTCCCATGGGACAGTTTGAAATCTTTGAGTGAAAGAGGGTGTGGCAGGAACCTCAAGTTACATGAATAAAGCGAGAAGGGATGGCAACTCAATGTCCAGGCCCTGTGAGACCATGTGGGCAACATATTTGTCTATCGATGGTCCCATTGCTTTTGTCTTTCTGGTCTATCTATATTTTTCTTAGCCTTGATTTTCACGTATATTTATTTTATCATAGTACACTTTGTAATGCATCTCAAAATCTTTGCGGAATAAATTGGTGTCTGGATATGTGCACATGGTTGTAGGAGGAGAGAGAGGCTGGCATATTACACCATGACAAGACAGTCACAGGATCTGGCTTCACTTGCTATATGACCTGCCATTCCAAAAGGTGGTCTTTTGCTGTGTTTCATACACGCTGGTTTAAAGCAGTCCAAATAAAAAATAAACACATTCCAAAATGCAATCCAAGAGTCTTAAGAGAAGCCTCAAAGATAGAGTTTTACTATAGGAACACTGTACTTTCTGAACAATGAAAGGTATTCTTTTTTAAAAAATAAATTTATTTATTTAAATTAGTTTCCAGTATACAGTACATTGGTTAGACGTCTATAATGTTCATAAAACGATCCCCTCAATTGCTCCCTCTCTCCCCTGGCCCTCTACTTCTTAATACCATTTATAAGACATGAAACATGGATGGTCTACTTAGTCCCTTCTATTGGTACATATATTAGGAAGAGGGACAGTAAGAAGTACTTTTCTAAGTGAGATTTCTGTGGCCATTTAAACTTACCTGCTAACTTACGAAAATATTGCTCTGCATAAATTTGATTAAGGGCTATTAAAATCTCCTAAATTATCTATAGAAACATAAGATATATATTTAAATTTCCATCAGTTTGAAAGACTCAGGAGAGAAAAAAATTGAAATTCAAACAATCACAGTATGTAATTTTTCTGACTTTTAAAGGAATATTTATAGCTTGAATGGGAAAGTCTGGTGAAATATATAAAAATTAGGGAGGTGATTCTTTTCCTATTTCAGGAAACTTATAGTTCTTGGAGAAGACATAGAAAATAAGCTCTCAGTTGATATACTATATTCATTATGCTAAGGTTTCTAAAGCCTCCTCTCCTTTTTATTTCTGAAAAGAGACATTTCTTTCAAAATTTGAAGAATGGCTTTAATGACCTAAGGTTCTAATGTAAGGATCTGCAAACTCTAGCCCAGGAACCAGATCCAGCAGACAGCCTGCTTTCCTCTGGCTGGAACTAAGAATAATTTTCAAATTTTTTAAAATGGTTGAAAAAAATCAAAAGAAAATTTCTCAACACATGAAAATTATATGAAATTCAAATTTCAGTGTCCATTAATAAGGTTTTATTGGAACAGTCACACCCATTCATTTATATATAGGTGCCATCCTACTACCACGGCAGAGTTGAGTAGTTTTGATCAAGACTGCATGTCCCCCAAACCTAAAATATTTACACAGTCTGGCCTTTTCCAGAAAAAAAGTTTGCCAATCTCTGACGTAAGAGACAGAGTCCACCCACAGCCACTCTGTGTGCCTCTGGGGCACATGGGAGGAGTTTTACCTGGTTGACATGGTGCAGGCATTTGTCAAGACAGCAGAAACAGCAGAAGCAGCATCTGAACACGCACCTCGACCATGCACTCTGCTGCTGGGATTAGGTTCAGAACCAAAGGAACAGAGTCAGAAACAGCACAGGACAGAAGGTAACCAGGAGTTTCAGTCAACACATACTGTTTCTACCTGGAAATGTTTACACCTGAGGAAGCACTATAGCAATGCTCATTCAGTATGGGAGAAATTCTTCTGTTCACATGCTGCCACTACTAATTATTATTATCATTACAGATGAGCGAAATTCCTCTCTTGTGGGCTTACCTCTTGTGTGTTGACCTCAGGAGAAAGGGAAATGGGTTACTCCATATTTACTAGTGAAGGTGACAACCAGGCCTTTTGGTTCTAGTAAAAAAAAATTTCTCTTCCCTCATCTCCCCTTCAATGTCTTCAACTATAAACTCTGCTTTTTCAAACCAGTATATATTCATGAAAAATTCACATCCCAAAGAAAATAAAACAACTAATGCTTTGTAGATACTAGCTATATGACCATGTTAAAAAAGAATCAAGTGTAACTTTTATGGAAATAAATCCTATAGTGAGATTTTCAGGGCTAAGTTTTAAGGGATAAATCAGTCCTTTGAAATATAACTTGGACTTGTGTATAACCTAAGAGTGAATAAAGAAACTCTTAGAGGAGGGGTGACTGAAAGTGTCCTACCCACGGCTCAGAGTTAAAAAAAAAAAAAAGCCAGAAAACAATCTTCAAATAGTCCTCTTTGAGGACCCCAGGAAAACTCACGTGGACATTTTCTTGTCCCAGTGTTAATTCAATCGGATGAAACTTGATCTGGATACTTTTCAGCCTGGTCATGGCTGTGAATGAGCCATTTAACATAGGAAAGATCGCACAGTGGCTATGTGAAATGTTTAAACTGCAGACACAGTACTGGGCCGTACTGCTGAGGGAGACCATTTCTTTTTAACCTAAGAAAGGACACATTTCTCCAACAGTGAACTTGCTAAAAAGAAGTTTGGTACCTTACTCTTCATGGGATCTGGGGAGTAATAAATAACCTTTTAGACCTCTTCCAGAGAGACTAAAATACCGACTTCTCTTTTAGATTTATGGCTGTTTTCCCAGAGTTTAAGATATCGAGCTCAGGGAGGGATGGCAAGGTCCTCTATTGCTCATTAATTTATGATTATCTATTACTAACGCCTATGCATATCTATATGTCTCTCTATGTATCTATACATACACATGTGCACACACGCATGCGCTTGCATGCACACACACACACTCAGAATAGCTTTCTCCATAATGTGTCACTTTGGCACGTGAATTATTTGGAGCTGAAGACAATCAGGACCCCGTAGGCTTGCAAGAAACATTTACCTCTACCTTAAAGAGTTTAAATTATTTGGGGCCTTGCCCATAGCAAGAGTTATTGCCAGAAATACTATTTTATAACCTATCTGTAGGGAGAAACAAACTTCTAATTACTGAACACCTGCCTTTCTTATTGTTCTGTGAATTGTCCTCCTTCCCTCTGAAGCCCCAAGGTGCCTCACTTCATCCTTCATTCAGAATGTCATATATTCCCTCATTTTCCCTTTCTGTCTCTGACTCTCTCATGTATCTGGGGTTTTCGTACATATGTATGTAATTAAATTTGGTCATTTTCTTTTATTAATCTGTCTCATGTCTGTTTTAATTATTAAATAAGCCTGAAGAACTTAGGAGGGAAAAATATATAAATATTATAAACAGCTGTTTTGTTCTTCAAGAAATCCTTCTCCAAGTTTCCTAAAATTGAAGGATCAATTTCAAAATGCAGGAGCCAGAGTGGCTAGACTTGGCCTGGATGTGAAAATGCCTCTTTGAGTTACCAAAATGTGTATGTTTTCTTATTCCATGAAATCCAGCCCTGAAAGGGATAAATTTCGACTAATTTATCTCTGAAATTTAGCCCTAAAATTCTCACTATAGAATTTATTTTTGAAAAAGTTAAACTTGATTCTTTTTTTATGTGGACACACAACTAGTACCTATAACGACATATTATAAATACAAAAAGCACTGTACGATCAAAGTAAGTGCTTCAAGTGCACTTCAAGATAAGAAAGCTGTATTACTTTATGTGAAATTCAATCGACTGTTCCTAATTGATAAACTAATCTCAAAACTTGATTATGGACTTAAAAATATCAGCAATTCAGATGTCTGCTTAAAAGAGCTCATAAAAACAACTCTAAAATATAATAAAGAATCCATGGGTAAAATTTCCCCAATTTACTAAGCACGCATACCTATACCCTAAAGGTGGGAGTCAGGTAAGTTTGCGAAACTCTGACCAAGTCATTGAGGCTGAGGTGGGGACTGGGGAGAGACTGGAGTTATGTGAGAACAGAGAAGTTGGGAAAAGTCCAACTCTCCCTTGTTTGGTGGGCCAAAAACACCATGAGAACAGCTGTTTTCCTGCTGTGTTGGTTTCCACTGGCATTCATAACCAAATGTGCATGGAAATAAAAACCAGGGAGGAGAAAAACCCCAGGCACAAAAGCCCTACAGTTTTCTGCCTTTTGAGCTGAGATTTAGGTCATCTTGCCCATTCATGTCTCACTGTTAAGAGGGAAGGTAGGCAGGCCTGCCCGCCCGCTCACCCTCCTTCCCTCCCTCCCTCCCTCCTTTTCTTTCTCTCTTTCTCTTTCTTTCTCTTTCTCTCTTTCTCTCTTTCTTTGTGTCTGTCTTTCTTTCTCTCTCTCTCTCTCTCTCTCTCTCTCTCTCTCAAACACACACACACACACACACACACACACACACACACACACACCCAGTAACTTCCCATGGCACCCTCTAGGAAATATAAAAGGCAGGGAATATTTTAGCATTAAAACATAAGCAAATGTTATTATAATAGAGTATTTTCTTACTTTTTTTTTTTAAAGCATTGAAATGTCCACAAAAACTTTTTAAATTTCCTCTGAAGAATTCCTCTCATTTGTTCAGCATTTAGCAAAGAAGGAAGCCACCTAGCTCAGAACTTCCCCCTCCCCACCCCACCCTCACCTCCAAGTGGGTGGAAAAACCAACACAAAACCATAAATAAAACACGAAAAGTTTGCTGGAGGTAGGAATGGGGTGGGAACATGGGACCTGAAGAACACTGGAGCCTTCCAAATGGCCACTGTCACGGCTCACATTCCTGTCCTGGGGCCTGCTGTAGTTTTCCAGTGATTAACTCTGCAGTAAGGTACTGGCTTACCTTGTCTTTCAGAGTGTTGTAAATGTACATGAGCACAGTTCTTGGAATCCTCACCATGGTGATTAAAAATGATCCTTTTATGACTGTTCCTTGATGGTAGCAGAAAAGAATGGCGAGAGACGAAAGGATTGGGTGATCAGGAGGGTCATTTTCATTTCTGAGATTAGGAAAAAAAGACAGAATTAAAAAAAAACTATTTAAAAAGAAACACAAAACTTCTCTTTGGTTCAAATCAACAAAGGTACCAACAATTTACAAAGCACTGATGCAGTAAGCATTTGGCAAATTTTTTATACTCCTCGGTAGCTAAGGTTAAATTATTTCTTGGACTAACAACAAGTGTTGGCAAAGATGCAGAGAAAAGGGAACCCTTGTGTACCGTTGGTGGGATTGCAAATCGGTGCAGCCACCGTAGAAAACAGGAGGTTCCTCAAAAAATTAAAACTAGAACTACCATATGATCTAGTAATTTCACTTCTGAGTACTGATACGAGGAAATCCAAAATAATAATTCGAAAAGATCTATGCACCCCTATGTTCACTGTAGCATTATTCGTAATAGTCAACATATGGAAGCAACCTAGGTGTCTATTCAATAGATGAATGGATAAAGAAGTTGTGGTACATATATACAATAAGATATTATTCAGCAATAAAAAAAAGAATAAAATCTTACCATTTGTGACAATATGGATAGACTGGGAAGGTATTAAGCTAAGTGAGATAAGTCAGACAGAGATAGACAAATACCATATGATCGCACTTAGCAAAGTACGATCATATGGTATTTGTAGAGTCTAAACAACAAAATAAACAAACAAACGAAACAGAGAAAAACTCAGAAATTCAGGGAACATGATGATAGTTGCCAGATGGGAGAAGGGTTGTAGGGAGGGGTGGAAAAGGTGAAGAGATTAAGAAGCACAAATTGGAAATTATAAAATAATCATGGGGATGTGAAGCACAGCACAAGGAATATAGTCAATAATATTGTATGGCTAGGTATGGTGTCAGGTGGGTGCTAGACTAGTCAGGGGGATCACTTCATAAATTATAAAAATATCTAACCAATATGCTGTACACCCGAAATTAATATAAAATAACACTGAATGTCAACTGTAATTGAAAAATCAAAAAAGAGGGAGAAAGGTGAAGAGGAATAAAAGGTTTAAACTTCTAGGTATAAAACAAATAAGTCAGGGGATGTGGTATACAATGTAGAGAATATAGTCAATAATATTGTGATAGCTTTGTCAGATGGTTGCTGGGCTTATCATGGTGGTCACTGCATTAGGTATATAAATGTTGAATAACTATGGTGTATACCTGAAACTAATATAATAGTATGTATTAGTATATATATTTTAATAACAATCTTTAAAAAATTATTTCTTGGACTAAGTTAATTCCTTCTGGTGGCACTCAGTGCTACAAATAAACATAGAACAGGAAATAAAACCCTGATGAGTTAAAATAAACCAGGTTCTCTCTTTACAACACCTACCTCTTCCACCAATTCTTTAAGTTGCCTATTAATCTCATTTTCATTTTCAGAAGTTTAATTATATAACAACCTACAAGGTTTAATTCAAGCGCTAGCATACGTAAACATTGCCAGCTTGGCTTGGTGATTAAAATCACCATGAAATCACATGACTAGGATTGCAGCCATAGAGGTAACAGTGAGTTTCAGCTGAAAGCGAAGGGACAGGAAGTTCTGGCTTCAGGACAGCTCTAGGCTCCTAGAATCCAGCTGATTTCTACTCTGCTCTTTAAAGGTCACCTCAGTGTGAATCATTTACGGGACTTGTCATGACATAGCTCCCAAGAATGCAAAATTCAGTTTCACAGGAAGGGAAAGAAGTGAAAAAGAAAAGGGCACAGCCTTCTCCCTACACCGAACTTGGAGGCTAGAACAAAGGAGGAAGGATTGAGACAACGCCTCCCCTGACCCTCCGAATTCCACTGATGCCTGTTCTAGAAAACGAGGCCTTTTCTGAGAAGCTACTTCTCTGATTCCAAGAGAAGCTTGGTTTCTTCAAAATGGATTATTCTGCAACTTGGTCTGGTTGCTAATAACTCACCATGAATTAAGGTTTTGACAACAGCCTAGGTTTTGAGGGAGGAAAAGGAATGCAGCCAGCAATGTTTCCAGAGCTGGCAATGGCTGTATTTTGCTGTTAAATCATCCAGGAAGGAAAAGAGAGCATGAAAGTAAGATCGGGAGCAGAATAACTGCAATCTATTTGTCCCACAAAAAGGGCAACGTGTGGTTCAACTCAGTATTATTGAAAATAGGAAATGCCAGGGAAGCTATTGCTGATATGAATTCATTTTGATCTGATACACTAGAAGAATAGTATAGGCCAGGAAAATATGACACATTTTTTCTCTTTCCTCATTTTTTTAAGAGGAAAAATGTTTACTTTTCCATTTAGGAGACTTATGTGTCTAAGAACTTATTATGGTGCTCAAGAGTTGATGCAAGGAGAAGAGGACAACGCCTGCTCTCAGTCTGGTAGGGAAACAATCGATTCGTGGGCCACTGTGAATGGGGGCCTTCGGGGTTGGTCCTCCAGGTATTGAAGTCTGGGGTCAGGCATCAGCTTTCTGAGATTTGCTAGGAGGAGCTTAACCATTTCAGGCAGAGGAGTTTCTACACCGCCTTGTCGGCCCTAGGCCATAACGCATCCGGCTGATGTCTCCAGGCTCTCTGCAGCTGGCTTGGAAGGAGAGTTCAGAAACTGGGTTATCACATGACAAGAGAGACAGTTTAAAAAAAAGGCCCTTTAAACCCAGGCCAGCTCACAGAGCCAGGAGTCACTTAATACCTGCCCTGAAAAGTAAGTGGAGTGTCTCTGAGGCCCCCACCTTCTCTTCTTAGACCCTCTTCCTGTTCCAAGGTAACATCATCCTGCCACCCATCCCCTGCTGTGTATACAGCTAGTGTCTTTCTCTAAGCTTCTCTCACAACCAGCAAAACCTGACTTCAGGAAGAGGATCTGATTATACCTGGTGGGGCCTAAAATAATACTCTGAACTTAACCATAATTTAACCAACTTAAAATTATCTCTAAACTTAACTGTATTTTGGGACTTGGCTTATGGGACGACAGTACAGTGTTAGGCATACTGGGAGACTCAGTGATGAACTGATATCGAGACTGGGGCCTCCAGGCAGGCCTATGCATCTGTCTCCTGGGAGTACTGAGTTTTGAGCACTTTCCACCCTATTCTCTTGGTGGTGGTGGCAGTAAGGAAGGCCCAGGCAGTGTGAGAGAGGAGGTGACTCAGGATGTCCCCACGAGCCCAGCATCCTCCTCCTTTTAAACCTAAAGCTACCCTGAGTGCTCCGTGAAATGGAGCCAGGGCCCCAGGACACAGCATCGACTCAAGTGGCTGGCCTAAGGGCTTCACGATCCCATCCATCCTAGTCCTGGGACACCTTTAAGTTATGGTACATAAGTGCTGTTTTGCAACTACTAATCCCCCAAACAACAAGCATAAAGCCAAGCAAGGAACTTCAGGGTCCTAGAAGCAAGTTTTAGCTCTAGTGAGATCCAACCTAGTGCTAAGAACTCTCTGAACAATATGGAAAATTAATTTTGTGCTGAGGCCCCTAGACAAGGACCGGGCTGTAGTGGATGGGTGGCCTCTAATGTCAATCGGGTCCTGAGTGAAGGGGCACTGTGTGTTCCCCACACAGACTGTCATTTCCTGATACTTCTTTCAGCAAAATCACTGCAAGATAGGGTTGGAAGAATTATGATGAAGTTGTAAGGTTCATCTTTCCAGTCCTACAGAAAATGGAAACTGTCTTCATTCTTCATGCTGAACGAGATTCTTTAGCTGTCTTCGGAAACTCTCATCAGGAGGAGGAAATGCATTTGTCTCCTACCTATCTTCCTTAGGCTCAGCTACAAACCTACTTCCTCACTTCTCCTTCAGCAAATCCACAGCACATGGAAATCATCTTTGTATATTTGAAAATGAAAATGCAATCATGCCTTCTCCAAGTCGAATGCTTCTAATTTCTTCCTGTCACATCCTGAGCCACATCTTTATGGTTCCCAGTTGACCCCTCTTCAAGCAAATGATTGTAAAAGGGAAATTTTACAGGTGGGATAGGTAAACATTGTGCTTGCCTCTTCTCATGACATTAAAATTACAACTACATTATAGGACAATCAGCCTGGAGAACAATCTGAAGACTAGCTGAACAGAAGTCCTATAATAAAGGACATAAAGAAATCATCTTGAGACTAATAAGAGGGGCAGAGATGCGAAATGGACCGGTCCCAAACCCTGGTGTGGTGGTCAAAGATCAGGAGGGATGTCTCGGCAGCAGAGGTCACCCCTGAAGAGTAAAGGGTCCCAGCCCCACACCAGGCTCCCCAGCCCGAAGTACCAGTCCCTGGAAGAGGAGCCCCTCTTCATCTGACTGTGAAAACTAGCAGAGGTTCCATTCATCCATGTGTCCTCTTAAAGGGCCAGCGCAGAGACTCTCTCACTCCCAGGCACTCACCCTGGGCTCCAGCAGAGGAACAGCAACTTGGGAGGTGCCAGAGACATACAGAGAGAGACTGAGTCTACTGGCTTCAGGATGAGGGCTGGAGGAACAGCCATCATGGTCCCTGTGTTGAGTCCTCCCCTCTCACGGCCAAATCTGAACTTTCATTGGCCTGGTGAACCCTGCTGGCTCCAGTGGGGTGATTTTCTGAGACCTTGCCCTACCAAACATGAGCCTGCTGGAGGCTTTTTCAGGGTTGGCCCACGGAGTAGGCTCACCAGCTGGGGTAGGCCCACGCTGCTGATCTCCTTGGACATCTCTCAGGGACCCATGGGCCCCAGGTGGATAGTAGCTGGCCTTGGTGTAGTAGCTGGCCCTGAGCCTTTGCTGAATGAACCTGAAATTGCATTAAACTGGTAAACACCACTTGCACCACCCTAGTGACTCCCTGAAATCCCACCTCATCCAACTCGAGAATCACCCAAAGTTCTTTCAGCAGCTGAGATTGGCAGATGGTAGCAGGCTTCGAGATGCCCTAGGCCTCTTGCTGAGCTGCCCCAGGCCAGGTACTGGTGGCGGCCAGCCCTGGTTCACGGCATGGCATATCCACCATGCCTCCAGGTCCCGCGCAGGCAGTGACCAACCAC